CTCATATACACAGACAGACTCGATAAGTCAGCCCGCAGTAATCAATTGTTTAAAGTACTCAATAGTATAAATTATGCAGCTGACTTATCGAGTCTGTCTGTGTATTTCTTATTACCCCAAATAAAATTATGGCTCATCTGTTATTCTCAGTTGATTGATTAATTAAAAAAATTTATTCAATTGGTCTAAAAGTGACATCATTTACAAGGAAAATTTATAGTTTTCTCCAGGATGGAACAGTCCATGTCCATGTCAACAACATTGGTTATATAAATAAATACAATAAGAAATGAAGTATGAATATAATATTAAATAATTCACATAATGTCATGATACATATATATTTACAATTACATTGTTGATATTAATGTATAATATTTTAATGAAGTTGTGTGTATAGGTTTCAGAGTTCTGAAAGTTCTTTGACTTTATTATCAAAATCTTCTTGCAAGACATCACTGGAATGACTGAAAAAATCATTGTTTTCATTTTTTGGTTGCTCATCATTTTCCTCATTATCAATTTTATCAACTATATTTGAGCCTGAAATCATTCCATTAAGCATTGTTTCAACATATTGAATATCAGGCCTGCTTTTTGGATCATCCTGCCAACATGCTAAATACAAGTAAATTATCAAAAATTTAATGTATATAAATATATAGTTTTTAAATATATATATAGATTTTTTACCTTTGTATAAATTAATGTATTCATTGAGTGTGTTTGGAATAGGTTCCTCACGAACTCCTTGAGAAATATCAAGCATTAAAGTAAATTGTTGATAATGTGGATCCAGATTACTAAAAGGTGGCTTGTTACTAGTCAATTCCCATAATAAAACACCCACACTGTATACATCTGATTTTTTGTTTGGTTTATATACTTGCTTATTGCTATGCTTGAAACATTGTGGGTCAATATAAGGCAGCACTCCTGCCAATTTGAATGTTGAAGTGGTTGTAGATTCAAGCATTTTACGGGAAAGTCCAAAATCCACTAATTTTATGGTTTTTTGGTGAACCAAGATGTTGTTTGAATGCTTTTCAAAAAAAGATAAACATTATTAAATATAATTTTTTATAAAAATAACAAGCTTATTATTTATTACCAAATCTCGATGGATAATATTGTTTTCATGTAGACACAAAACAGCTGATGCAATCTCATATGCAAATTTCAGCTTTAGATCCCAACTGATTGATTCA